GATGATATGATAGTATATATGAGAGACCCCAAAAATTCAACCAGAGAACTCCTCCAGCTGATATACACCTTCAGCAAAGTGGCAGGATACAAAATCAACTCAAAAAAATCAGAAGCCCTCCTCTATACCAAAGACAAAAGGACCGAGAAAGAAATTAGGGAAACAACACCCTTCACAATAGCCACTAACCACATAAAGTACCTTGGGGTGACACTAACCAAGCAAGTGAAAGACCTGTTTGAGAAAAACTTCAAGTCTCTGAACAAAGAAATTGAAGAAGATCTCAGAAGATGGAAAGATCTCCCGTGCTCATGGATTGGTAGGATTAACATTGTGAAAATGGCCATCCTGCCAAAAGCAATCTACAGATACAATGCAATTCCCATCAAAATACCAACTCAATTCTTTTCAGACCTTAAAAAAAAAGATTCTCAGCTTCATATGGAGAAACAAAAAAACCCAGAATCTCCAAAACAATCCTATACAACAACCGATCATCTGGAGGTATCTCGATCCCCGATCTCAAGTTGTACTACAGAGCAATAGTAATAAAAACTGCATGGTATTGGCATAAAAACAGAAAGGAGGATCAATGGAACTGCATAGAAGACCCAGAAATAAACCCACACACCTATGAATACTCGATTTTTGACAAAGAAGCCAAAACCATTCAATGGAAAAAAGACAGCCTCTTCAACAAATGGTGCTGGTCCAACTGGATGTCCACATGCAGAAAAATGAAAATAGATCTATATTTATCACCCTCCACAAAACTAAAGTCCAAGTGGATGAAAGACCTCAACATAAAACCAGATACTCTAAATCTGTTAGAAGAAAAAGTGGGGAACAGCCTAGAACTCATTGGCACAGGAGACAACTTCCTGAACAGAACACCAACAGCACAGGCTCTAAGAGCAACAATCAATAAATAGGACCTCATGAAACTGAAAAGCTTCTGTAAAGGAAAGGACACTGTCATCAAAACAAAACGACTGCCTACAGTTTGGGAAAGAATCTTCACTAACCCTTTATCTGACAGAGGACTAATATCGAGTATATACAAAGACCTAAAAAAGCTGAAAAGCAGCAAACCATGTAATCCAATTAAAAATGGGGAACAGAGCTAAACAGAGAATTCTCGACAGAGGAATATCAAATGGCAGAGAAACACTTAAAGAAATGCTCATCCTCATTAGCCATCAGGGAAATGCAAATCAAAACGACCCTGAGATATCACCTTACACCTATCAGAATGGCCAAGATGAACAACTCAAGGGAGTTTTCATCAGTGGAGAAAGGGGAACCCTCCTCCACTGCTGGTGGGAATGTAAACTGGTACAACCACTCTGGAAATCTACCTGGCGCTTTCTAAGACAATTAGGAATAGTGCTTCCTCAAGACCCAGCTATACCACTGATAGGTATATACCCAAAGTCTGCTCAAGTACACAAAAGGGATACTTGCTCAACAATGTTTATAGCAGCTTCATTTGTAATAGCCAGAACTTGGAAACAACCCAGATGTCCATCAACGGAGGAATGGGTACAGAAATTGTGGTATTTTTACACAATGGAATACTACTCAGCAATCAAAAAAAAGGAAATCATGAAATTTGCAGGCAAATGGTGGGATCTAGAAAAGATCATCCTGAGTGAAATATACCAGAAGGAGAAAGACAAACACGGTATATACTCACTTATATAGACCTATAAGATGTGATAAACATAATGAAATCTGTACACCTAAAAAAGATAATCAAGAGAGCGGACATGGGGCAAGATGATCAATCCTCGTTTAGAAAGACAGATGGGATGTGTATTGAACGTATGACAGGAGTCTACTGAGCGTATTTGAAAGACTTTAACTAGCAGTGTTTTCAAAGCAAAGACTCATGACCAAACCTTTGGCAGAGTACAGGGAATCATAAGAAAGAAGGGGAGTTAGTCTGATGGGGAAAAGATAGGAGCTCCACAAGGACCAAATATATCTGGGCACAGGGTCTTTTCTGAGACTGACATGCAACCAAGGACCATGTATGGATATAACCTAGAACCTCAGCTCAGATGTAGCCTGTGGTAGCTCAGTAACCAATTGGTTTCCCATAGTGAGGGGAACAAGGACTATTTCTAACAGGAACTCAATGACTGGCTCTTTGGCCTCCCCACCTCCCAAGGGAGGAGCAGTCCTGTTAGGCCACAGAGGAGAGCTTTGCAGCCAGTCCTGAAGATACTTGATAAAACAGGATCAGATGAATGGGGAGGAGGTCCCCCCTATCAGCGGACTTGGAAAGGGGCACAGTGGAGATGAGGGAGGGAGGGAGGAACTGGGAGGGGGACACGGCTGGGATACAGAGTTAATACAATGTAACTGATAAGAGAAAAATAAAATTAAAAAAAAAAGACTGTGTTTAACCTTCTGTTCTATTATGTACTAAGCCTGTAAATGTTAAGCCTATCTTTAAGTAAACAATATAACAGCCAACCTTTCTTGTCTTGGATTTGGTATTAACAACCTTTTGTAACCTACAATAATACATAGGTTTAATCTTTTGTTGTGTACTTGTCCATTGATCCGACCTAGAATAATGTATGTGTAAATGCTGAGTCTTTAATCAGGTGCTGAGAGCAGCCAGCAGGTTGGAAGCAATGTTATACAATAATATCTGTCACAAATATTGAAAAGATCCTGTAGATACAGCTTGATAACATATGTGTGCATTACTAGTTACTAATCTGGGTCAGTAAAATAACTTCTTCCGATTTAAAACTCTGTTTTATATTTCTATAAGAATCCTTTATTCCTTTCCCATGCCATGTTGTCTGTGCTGTTCAATAAATACACATCTAAACTCTTTGTTAGGGAAAGACAGAAACAATAGGGAGAGAAGTAGAGAGTTCAAGTTTCGGCTCCCTCTTGGTCAAATTAATCTAAGAAAAATATGTTTTTTTATTTTTTTTCTGATTTTATTTCTTAATGCATTATCAATTTGTTCTGGTGTCCTAAGATAAAAAACATTTGATGAGTTAGTGAAGTACCTATCCACTAACCCATCTACCCATATGTTTTCCTTATCCTTCTATCCATCGCTGTATTCATCATCCATCTATCCATCCATTCATCCACATTTTCATTCATTCAACAAGCATTAATGTCTTACCTTTTTTCTCTTTTTTATTAATTACACTTTATTCACTTCATATCCCCCCATAAATCCCTCCTCCTCCCCTCCTAATCCCACCTTCTCTCCTCCTTCTTCACGCATGCCCCAATGTCTTACCTTTTTAACACCACTATTAAGTGTTGTAATTAGAGAAAATAATAGGAAAAAATGTCATAGACTGAGTAGAATTCGGTGTGATGGGCTTATTACCAGTATTTATTTTTTTTACACAGTATCATGTGAGTAGAAGACACAGATTAATTCTTCCTGAAGTTTTGGGCAATTTTCACAACAGAAACATTATTTGTGTTTCATCAATGTCGGAGAATGAAAAATAATTAAGAAAACAGAAAAAGAAGAATAAGAAACCTACGTATAATAGAAAGTTATTAAAATGCCCAAAGAGGAAGAACATAGGGCATAATGGTGAATATAAGGGTATTTATAGTATGGCTAACAGATTCTAGGACAGGGAATCATAGGAGGTGGGGATATAAAAGGTTGATAAAATTTCCACAAATGCGTATGTTATGCTAGCGTGTTAAAGCTACTAAAATTATCTTAGATACACAGAAGTTCGGCTCACAAAAGTTATTTCTTAATATAGAACAATGTAGCATGGCTTATATGTATCCAAATGATAATATAAGGAGACAGATTTTATCTAAGTCGCTAAATTCTAGTAACACGTGGAATGATTTTTAAGCCATTAAGTTAAAAAAGCTAAAGCAAGAAGGAGGAGCATGGGTAAGATGATCAATCGTGACTCAGAAAGAAAAACAGGTTGGGCATTGGAAGAGGGAGAAAACAGGGAACATAACAGGTGCCTACCATGGAGGGCCTCTGATAGACTCTACCCAGTAGTGTATCAAAGAAGATGCTGAGACTCACAACCAAACTTTGGGCAGAGTGCAGGGAATCCTATGAAAGAAGGGTTAAGTAGTAAAACCTGGAGAGGACAGTTGCTCCACAAGGAGACCAACAGAAACAAATATCTGGGCACAGGGGTCTTTTCTGAGACTGATACTCTAACCAAGGACCATTCATAGATAGAAGCTAGAACCCCTGCTCAGATGTAGCCCATGGAAGCTCAATATCCAAGTGGGTTCCCTAATAATGGGAACAGGGACTGTCTCTGACATGAACTAAGTGGTGGGCTCTTTGAACCCCCTCCTGAGGGGGGAGCAGCCTTCCCAGGCCACATTGGAGAACAGTGCAGTCAGTACTGATGAGACCTGATAAACTAGGGTCAGCTGGAAGTGGAGGAGGACCTACCCTATCAGCGGACTTGGAGAGGAGCATGGGAGGATATGAAGGAAAAAGAATGGGATTGGTAGGGGAGGAGGTAGGGGGCTACAGCTGGGATACAAAGTGAATAAACTGTAATTAATATAGAGAAATAGAAATTTCAGTATCCTAGTGGATTCCTTAGTAAGGGGAATAGGGACTGTCTCTGACATTAACTCAGTGGCTGGCTCTTTGACCTCCCCACTCCCAAACGAGGAGCAGCCTTGCTAGGCCACAGAGAAGGACATTGCAGCCAGTCCTGAAGAGACCTGATAAACTAGGATCAGATGGAAGGGGAGGAGGACCTCCCCTATCAGTGGACTTAGAGAGGGGCAGGGAGGACATGAGGGATGGGGGGTGGGTTTGGGAAGGGATGATGGAGGGGGCTACAGCTGGGATACAATGTAAATAAACTGTAATTAATATAAAAATAAAAATTTAATTTTAAAAAAGATACAAATAAATAAGTCTTTAAAAATAAAAAAAAATTAAAAAGTTTATCCCTCACAAATAGTTAATTTCTCAGTACCTGAAATGAATTTAAATTACTTACAACTGATACATGTTGAATGAGTGGAATATAATCAGGTTTACGTTTCACTGAAGAACTCATTGCTTCAGGTTCAGTTGTAATTGGCTAAGAGCAAAAGTAAAATAGGTTTAAACAGCGGACTAATTTGATAAAGAAAGGAAACCACACTATTTATTGATGGCCCAGACAACTCAATTGGCATTTTTCATATTTCCATGAAAAAGTTGTATATAAATATGTGTACACTAGTATACATAAACAGTGCATGAAAAAAGAGAGATTCTTGTATGTTAGACATTATTCTCAATGTTTTGGGAATGTGTTAACTCTTTAAATACTTATAACAAAACTGTGAGGTAGGTACAGTTATACATATGAAAAAAACCATGATATGGAGAAGTAAATTAATCTCATCAGTAATATAAGTTATGGAATTCAGATTTGAACTCAAGAAGCATAAAAATGCAATAGACAATTTTAATCACTAAACAAGTTTAATAAATTTAGAAGTCTAAATTTATTTTCTTTTCCTCTTCTTAATTATATATATTTACAATTTATTCACTTTGTATCTATTCCTGTTATAGCCCCCCAAAACATATATACAAGTTTCAAAATATGGACCTACAGGTTATATTTAGGGATATATGTGTATATACCTATATACCTATACATATATGCATACAATAATAATCAGTGGACGTGAAAAGGCCAGGAATTTGAAGGGTTGAGAAGGTTTGGAGGGAGAAATGGGAAGGGAGAATATTGTCATTGTATTATAATGTAAAAACATCTTGGGCACAGAGGTTCTTGCAGAGACCAATACTTCAACCAAGGACCACGCATGGAGAGGACTTCCTGCTCATTTTCCAAGTGGGTTCCTTAGTAAGGAGGGCAAGGGCTGTCTCTGACATGAACTCAGTGGCTGGCTCTTTGATCACCTCCCCCAGGGGGTGGTGCAGCCTTGCCAGGCCAGAGATAAAGATGATGCAGCAAGTCTTGATGAGACTTGATAAACTAGGGTCAGACAGAAGGGCAGGAGGTCCTCCCTTCTCGTTGGACTAGGGAAGAGGCATGGAAGGAGAAGAGGGAGGGTGGATGGGACTGGGAGGAGATGGACGGGGCTACAGCCAGGATACAATGTGAATAATTTGTAATAAGTAAGTAAATAAACAAACACACATAAATAAATGAACAAAAATTTAAAAATGCAAATAAATTTAAAATAATCGTACATATAAAAGAAATACATTTTTAATTGGAAAAGTATGAAACTTAATTTAAGCTCCACAGCTTTTATTCCAAATGTCAATTCTGCTTGTATAGCAGTTCATTGAGCTGGATAGGCTTTGGGTCTACTTGATGTTGATGTGATGTTTTTTATTCATTTGCAAGATTTTGCAAAGCTAGTTAACTTATTTTTATTTACTTTTCATTTATTATTATTACTATTACTCTTATTATTATTTACGATTTATTACTTTGTATCCCAGTTGTAATTCTCTTCTTCCTCTCCTCCCTCATCTCCTCCTGGTAGTCCCACCCTCCCTCCCTGTTCTCTTCACATCACTCTCCCCTAGTCCACTGATAGGGGAAGTTCCCCTTCGTTATTGTTTGACCCTAAACTATCAGGTCCCATCGGGACTGCCTTGATCCTCTTCCTCTGTGGGCTGGCCAGGATGCCCGACCTGGAAGAAGTGATCAAGGAGCAGGCAACTCTTCCTGTTTCTGTTCCCCTTACTAGGTAACCCACATGGAGACTGATCTGTCTATGGGCTTCATTTGAGCAGGCGTTCTAGGTCCTCTTTATGCATGGTCTTTGGTTGATGCATCAGTCTTCACAGACCCACCTGGGCCCAGGTTTTTAATGGCTTTCTTATTCTCTCCGTGGGGCTTCTGCTCCCTCCATTTCCTTCTATTCCCCCCTTCTTCCATAAAAATCCCTATGCTCTGTCCACAGTTTGCCTGTGATTCTCTGCATCTGCTTAGATCCCTTGAGGGTGGAGTCTTTTAGAGGACATCTGTGGTAAGCTCCTGTTCTGCTCCCTCTTGTCACAGCTTTTGCTGTGTATCCTGTTTGCCCTTCTGAATGAAATTAAGCATCTTCCCTGGGATCTTCCTCATTGTTTAGCCCTTTTAGGTTTGTAGATTTAGTATATTTATCTTATATTATATGGCTAATATGCACTTATAAGTGAGTATATACCATGTGTGTCTTTCTGCTTCTGGGATACCTCACTCTGGATGATCTTTTCAAAAAAAAAAAAAAGGCCATTCTATGAAAAGCATTCTACAGATTCGTTGCAATTCCTATCAAAATACAATACAATTCTTTATACACCTAGAAGACTAAATTTAAAAGCATCATGTGAAATTGATTTAAGAATTTTCCTATGAAACATAACAAATATCAGGATCTATTTTAATGCTTTATTAATATTAAAATTGATTTAATACGATCTGGTGTTGCAGTAAGACTAACATCTGAATGAGTATATTATACAAAATACATTGTCTTCTGTTGAACTTCTGGAAAATTGCTAAGCAGTACACTTAAAGAAGTAGTTGGATCACTACATATCAGAATGAAAAAAAATTTATATCATCAAGATTTAATTATGAAGAAATGAAATATAGTAAATTATTAGCTAAAACATTTCATCAAAAAAAAAAAGCTCAAAAACGAATGGCTTGATGGATGATTTCTATGAAACATATTGGAAAAAATATCACAAACTTTACTTAAATTATTTTGTGAAACTGACCAAAGAGTATTTTTTCAAATTCATTATACATGGCTAGCCTTTCTCTGAGACAAAACTGCAGGTGACAAAAAAGAAAGCTATGAGCCAGCATCCTTATCTAATGTAAGAATTTTCAACAAAACATTAGCAAACCAAATCCAAAGGCATATGAAAAGCAATTCACTGTGATCACATAGAATTTTTCTTAATCTCAAAAATGAGGCTCAACATTAATGAATCAATAAGAATGGTAAATACACATACAAAATGAATAATGAAACAATACAATCATCTCTGTATGTACAAAATCAGAATTTAATAAAATTCAAAACAAGAATGCTGAAAATTTCTGTACGAAGGGAGAACATTTCAATATAATAAAAATCATAAAAATAAGGAAGCATAATAACACACTGAGTGGAGTAAAGCTAAAAGCTTCTTTTTTTAATCTGGTGCAAGCCATGGATCTATATGATAAATTCATCCATTTAATTCAACATACTACTGGAAGTCGTAGTTTGAATAGTTAACAACAAACCAACCAAACGAACAAATAAGATATTAACATAGGACTATTCCTCAGTCAAGTTTTCTTTATAAATGCATTTGCATATAAAAATTCCTAAGAAAAATGTATTAGAACTAATAAATGTGTTCATGTGTTCTTATTCCCAGTGTTGGAGATTAACCATGGTGCCTCACACTTGTTGGGCAATGAGTCTATCACTGACCTACGTTCCCAATCACTAAGTTTAATAAATTACTTCAATCAAGTTGCAACCTATATAACCAGTATAGTAGCATCATCATATGCTACTTACAATACCAAAATTTAAAACATTTAAGAGTAGATTTAATCAAAGCACTGAAAGATCAGTAAGACTGAAAATATGATATGTTAATGAAAGAAACTGTACCAGATACAAAAAATGACAAGATATATTATAGTCATAGATTGGGAGACACACTAATATTATAATTCCATGCTACTCAAAGCAATCTATACATTTTTACAACCCCCTTTGAAATGCAAATGATATTTTAACATGATAAATAAAATACTAAAATATTATTGCAACTACTATAACACTAAACCACTAACATAATCTTGATCAAAAACAGAAAACAGGAGACATTACTACCTGCTGCTATGGTAATCAAACAGAATTGTATTGACATAAAAATAACCACATAAATCAATGGAAGAGATTAGTAACCTAGCTGTGAGACTATATATTTACAACCAGTTGAATTCTGACAATGTTAAAAGCTACACTACAAAAACATTATATTTTTAATCACTGATGGTAGGCAAACTAGATGTCTACATTTGGTTTTATATAACCCAACTCTTCCTGCCTACTAGTTACAAAAAACATAAATGGAAAATAACTCAATATCTTATATGCAAGGCCAGAAATCCACAAAACTATGGGAAGAAAATGTGAGAAACATTTCATGCAACTGACAGGGCAAAGCTTTTTTGAACATACCTCAAAAACATAGGAAATAAATGTTATAAAAAGACAAATGGTATTCTATCAAATATCAACTTCCCACAAAATAATCTACAGAGTAAAGAAATAACTTACAGAACTGGAAAAATATTAGAAATTACTCATCCAAAAAATGTTGATATAAAAAATAAAGAAATCAAAATCTCAGTAGCATATGAATATCACAATTGAAAATTAGAATTTGCTCCCAAAATTCATTTTCTAAAAGACATGAGAATGGCTGACATGTATGAAAAAGTAGTAAATATTGTTAATAATCAGAGAAATGAAAGTCAAAAAAAGAAGGAGATATAAACTCACTCTAAACAGGTTACTACTATTGATAAGGTAATTGATAACATGAGACTACGGAAAAAGTGCAACCTTTGAACACAGTTAATGAGAATGCAAATTAGTATAGCTATTACAAAAAATACATAGAGTTGCCCAAAAAATACATAAAAGAAAACAGTAAATGCAACGTTGTAAAAATCCATTAGTCCTAGAGAGGAGTGCACAGCTTCCGAACCAGAGCGTCGCCCAGCCGCCATCCCAGACAGAGACACACAGCTTCTAGTCCAGAGTGAGGCACCCAGCCTCCAGAAAAGAGAGGAACCCTCAGTTGCCAGCCTAGAGAGGAGTGCACAGCCTCCAGACCAGAGCAGCGCCCTTAGGCGCCAACTCGACCTAGGCGCACATTCTCCAGGCCCAGAGCGGAGCACTCATCCCCTGGCCCAGAGACTTGCTGGGTGCTCCTCTCACCTTCTTGAACAGAACTGTGTGCCCCAGGATACCAGACTGAGTTTCCCTGTTGGGAGAAAACCCCACAGCTAGGGAATCAGCAGGCTCTTCCAGAGGGTTATAC